CAAGCAAGTTTGTCCCTCGGTGTCATGGTGTGATCCAGAAGGTTGTTGAGGAGGAGCACTGGAAATACTGGAACTATGTCACCAGGACTTGGTAATTCCAATTAGCGATAAACTAATACACTGAACCGCCCATATTTCTGCCCGATATTCTTCTTGTATTGGTAGACCTATGCATACATTGGACAAATTATTAGTGGAGTGGCTCCCAAACAGTGGAGCAGGGCAATTGAAGGAGAGGTGGTAAATTTGATTGTTTATTTTAGTTAATTTCTTTATTGATAAATTTGTTAAAGTCATTTGCACATGAGAATAAACAGCTAAACTTAAAATAATTGTACTTTAAAGGTGGTAGTTTTAGCCATTTAAAGTAGATTGTAGTTTATTTTTATGCAACATTTCATTTGACTTTCTTTGTTTGAATGATTGGGCAGGGAAAAGGGTTGGTGGGGGTCCAGCACAAAAATTTGGGGGGCGTTTACCAGCAAATCAAATACATTGCTGCTCCCTCTATTTGCAAGCCATTGTTACACTGAAAAAAAAAAATACTGTCGTTTTTGGCATTTACTTAATCATATTTAGTTACTTTAACACAATTGTTTCTATTAGCAGGGTAGGACATAAAACAATTGTGTTAAAGTAACTAAATATGATCAAGTAAATGCCAGAAATTCAGTTTATTTCTATAGCGCCAATTCACAACACATGTCATCTGGAGGCATTTTACAGTTCACCAGATCATAGTGATATTGATTCAGAATTTTCTTTCTAGGGAAAACCAGTTGATTGCATCGACTCATTGATTTGAATGCAATCCCTCACACTAAGCATGCAAAAACAGTTGCTTAAGTTAACAGTTGTTTAAGTTTCAAGTGGTGTGAAGTTTGATATCTTTGTGGCATTTCTATAATGTAAATGGAGGGAGTGAGAAAAATAGTGGTTCTATGAATGATCTGTTAAGACTGATATAAAAATAATCGGCCTCTGCCTTAAAAGAAAAAAAACTATCGGTTGATCTCTAATTCCAATCTCATTTAAAACACAAAA